AAGACATATCGCGAACAATTATTCTTTTAAACGCATACACACGTGTAACTGTGTTCCAGAGAGAGAGAGAGAGAGAGAGAGAGAGAGAGAGAGAGAGAGAGAGAGAGAGAGAGAGAGAGAGAGAGAGAGAGAGAGAGAGAGAGAGAGAGAATTGTGTGTGTGTGTGTGTGTGTGTGTGTGTGTGTGTATGTGTGTGTGTGTGTGTGTGTGTGTGTGTGTGTGTGTGTGTGTGTGTGTGTGTGTGTGTGTGTGTGTGTGTGTGTGTGTGTGTGTGTGTGTGTGTGTGTGTGTGTGTGTGTGTGCGTGTGTGTTAACACACACTGTTACTCAATATTATCATCATAACTGTTTTTTTTTTTTTTAGTAGCACATATTCTTATCTATAACTAGCTCCAAACTTCTTCGTTTGGCTCTCACTAGTGACCGCCCCCTCATAGAACTAAACCGCTAGAGAACAGGGCGTTAGCGAGACCCGCTACGCGAAAGCGCTAGCGAAGCCGAGCGCTCGGCGGTGTTGCTTCACTCGCGAGAAAGCTCCTTCGGGACTGTGTTGTGGCGGGCAATGTTTACATCCAAAGGCGTGTTTAACAACTCTTTTGAAATGTTCTCTGCTGTTTTGTTACTGATCATTGGCATACATGGAAGTTGTAAGTATACTTCTGCTAAGTTAGGAGGAATAGGAATGGGAACAAATATTACGAATCATGAAAGCTAGCCGCCCTTGAACCCAAGGAATAGTTTTTCTTCCCCTTCGACAAGAAGGAATTGCTAAATGGACTTCGTGGGCTTTTCGCTGCAGGATTTTGTGCTTAATTTACACATATACTCCGTATAGAAGGACATTAACATTTGGCATTTGAGCTTCAGTTTAACAACTTTCAAGGTGTTGGCTGCAGGATGTGAGTCTTAGCTGTAATTTATTATGACTCATCACACATAGGCCTTGCTTGTGTCCGATCTAGTCTTAGTTTCTAAGCCATGTAATACTAGGATATTTTTGCGTGTAATGACCGAAAATCATCTCTTTTTTTCATCTATACTACTACCTTTGCAAGTTGATATTAAGAAAGTTGGTATACATTTAAGAGAAAATGCCACTATAATAATCAAAAGTACTCATTAATATGTAAAATAATCTGTGTAGGCCTAAAATACCATCAGAAAAGAAGAAAATAAGTCAGAACAATTGCAGGATGGAGAGCAAGTCCACAATGATGGAATAGGGGTCCAGGGCCAGAGTGCCCAATAGGGAAATGTCGCGATCACATGGGGGTCTGGGACTGATGACACCAGGTTTGGAAGGTTTTTGGTTGATTTAGCAATGTTTGTTGTCTTCCCAGGAATGCCTGCAGTGATAAACAATCTCAGAGTGGTAAGGTCACCTCATAAACATTGAAATACTTTCATTTATATCATTTGCTATGGAAAATAACAAGAGATTCATGCATATTACGGAATTGAAAATTGAAAGAGAGAATAATAATTGCAAGATTGGATAGTTTGGTGAAACTAGAAAATTACCTTGGTTCCTTCTGAAATTCACTTTACTGGAATTCCTTTGTTAGGTTTATTGCAAGAAAATTTGGACATGCTACTTCAAGGAACTTGTAATCTTTAGGTACATAATTTTACTTAACTGTTATTTCCAGAAATATCCAAACATGGTATTTTGTAGCAGAGTTAAAATTATGGAGCTTCATAGGTGATAGATATGAAAAGGGAAAAGTAATGCTTTAAATGTGAAGTATTACAGAGAAATTGGGGAATAGGTTACATATTGGCAGTTATTTTATCACATTCAAAGACAAGGTGTATGCATAATATCTCATGATAGACTGAATATACCTGTACAATAGAAAAAATACTTGAATTGCTATCATAATGAGAGATGAGGTCAGTAATGTGTGGTCACTTAGTGTGCTCTGGGAGAGGAAGAAGCTTGACCTTCAGCAGGTCTGGTAGGCATGCCAGCCATTAGAGGGAATGCTCCATGATAACCATTGCTAGAAGTTTCTTTTATATATATACAGATTTTAGCCATTCTTTGATAAGTACAGTTTTTATTAACCAAGAGATACTTCCTTTTTCAATAATTTATGGAAATATTAGAAATCTTATAATCCTTTTTAATTATTCCACTCCAAGTAGTATGGTTGGGTTATATTGATTAATCTATCTTATAAATTAAGAAGATCAGGAACATGCACAAAGTTATTACATTTTTAATATATAAATAACTCCACATATGTATAAGAGAAAATGATAATGATAATAATAACAAAACCTTAGTGAGCAGTGTACTGTTATGTACACATGCACTCTTAGCATCAACGGTTAAGTTGACAGACTACTGTAGGGAAAGCAGTGTTTTGATCTTAGTGCAGCTGCTCTTATAACCTAATCCTTTTAACCCCATGTATAAAGCCATTGCAAGATTGATTATTTTGGAGGTACAGAGTCAAACTGGATGTTAATTACTTGTATATACTTTGACAATCTCTTCTGGAATTGCTAACAACATATAGACTTCTAGTTATGAATAAAACCTTTATTTACTAGCTTTATATATTCCTACAGTAGCTTTTACACAAACAATGAAGGCTCCAGAATTAGATGCTCTATACAAGGTCATGGACTCCCATCCTTACACTGAACTCCATTGCAAAAATTTGGTTATTATTTGTTATGGGAAATCTGGTCACTCATTTATCAGTTTTGTTAGTATTAAATTTTTACTACATTTTTAATTGTTCGTGTGCTTTATCCAAAATAGTTTCTAAAGAAATGGGTTATAGATATTGATATCATTCCCCAGTCACATCAGAGTCAGTTTTTATAATAGTATGATGCTTAACCTCTTATAGCTGGGCACATCTGTTGCCATCACAAAAACTATAGGCATTATGACTCACTAAGGTGAGTCGAGAGCAAAGTTCCACCAAACACATTAAATTCCCTGTCATGCCAAAAGGTTAGACAGTTGCTAGAAGTCACCAGAATGAGTGACATAGAAATTTCTGGCACAGTCTTTGTAGGATTGATAACACCTGATGTTGCCTTTTCATTTTCTCTTATTTATGAAAATAAAGGGTTACTCTTTACATAATGGATGCACTAAAATAGGGCAAATTGAAGATGATATTCTTGTAGAGGACAAAAAGTTGCAGTGATGTAGTCGGTACAAGAAATAATCTGGGAAATTCTTTCCAGTCCCAGTTCAATGTCACAAACTTTATTCAGCAGTCGAAGTTGTCGTGACTGTGTGTGCCCTTTGGGCACTGCCCAAGGGGAGGGTTTGATGGGAGGCTCTACCCCTCAACACCCCTGGGAAATATTGTCTTCACCTTGGTATGTGCAGCAAGATAGAGCTGAAACTCAGGAGCACAGAGTGGATTTTGGCTGTAAGCGGCAATTTCCGCAAAATTTATCATTTGTGCATGCATACCTTAAAGATTGACCATAATCTGCAGACATAAACTGCAATACCACAATTAGGCCTAAATGAAAAAGATTGGGGAAAGTGCCATTCACATCCTATGTCCACTCAGTACTCCCAAGTCTCAGCTCTATCTTGCCGAGCATACTGAGGTGAAGAAATATTTTCCCAAGGGGTGTTGGGGGTGCAAAGCTCTCCATCAACCCTCCCCTTGGTCAGTGTCCAAAGGTCGTGTTCAGTCATGGCAACTTGAATAGGTTCTGTGACATAGGACTAGGAACTTAACCCAGTGCCGCAGGGGAAAATAAATAAGAAATGGGGATAATGCTGTGCTAATTTTTTATATTTTTTGTGAAATGTCTGCACATAGATGGCTCTGCTAGTGCTTAGCCACAAAGGAATCAATTAGTAGATCTTGTGACCTTACCTGATTTGAATTGGTGGGAAAAATGTATTTTTTACTAGAGCTATGAATATCGATGGTGTTATTTTTATTATAAACATTATGGTTACTATAATGTTATAAACATTAGTAACAGTAAAATAAGATAACATAAAATATTTTTGTAAATTAAAGAAAAGGGTAAACAGGCAGTACTCATAATTGCTCATTGGTGACATAGTACAAGTGTAGCCATCTATGTATTAAAACAATTAAACAAGTAAACTCAGTGGTCATGGCATACATGTACACATCATGCCTGTCAGCTTTGGGTTAATCTCTAGTGAGTGCATCCATACTGTAAAGAATAGACATTGTGCTTTATATCTTAATATGTTGGATTTCATTAGGGTATTGTTATTACATGTAACCCCATGTAATTAGTAATGCCAAGAGATTTTGTTTTATATCTAAAAAAAGTTTGAAAGAAAATTAGCATTTTAGAGCATGAGTTATAATTGTTCTGTGAATTTTTTACCTTTTGTTTCATATCTTTTCTACAGAAGGGGGAAATAATGTTTATTATATGTGTTGCAGAGAGTTCACTAGTAGATAATAGCATTTACTTTACTGTTTATATGTGGTAGATAAGATATAGAAAGTTATTGTCTTTGAGTGTCTTAAAGTTTGGTCAAGCAGAAAAACTGCCTTTCATTTAGAAATGATGTTCCAAAATCAATATGGTATGTGTTTTAAGATATGCAACTAAAGAAATGTGAAGAAATTTTTTCTGCTTACTATAGTTTACAAAGAAAAGTAGAATCTGAAATTATTTTCAATTTTTTGAGATCATAGCTGTTATTTTTATTTGTTTTGCAGCCGCAGCCATGACATGCAGCAGGGAGGGCTTTTTTGGTCAAACAGAATTTATGACCTGTCCCCAGAAAGAAGGCTCGCCTAATGAGTATTGTTGTGGTACAAAGGAAAATCGATATTGCTGTGACACACCTTTTGGAATCGATGAAGAAGTTCTGAAAGAATTTGCTGAGAGGTAAGAAATAATGTGTTTTATATGTTGATAAGATACTTTTTGCTGTTACTAAAAAGTATAATTTGTCTTATATCTGTTAAGAGTTTTGTCAGACCACAGAAATAATGAAAATATTTTTCACATTCTTCTTTACAATTCATGGGTTGCATTAATTTTACCATTGCATTATTTGCAGCTCAAATGGTGCTTGAAAGTAATGCTTTGCAAAAAACTGATTATAGTACTAAATGTAGTAGAAAAAAGTCACCATTGGAAAAAGTAGATATTTCCTGGAGGATTGATATTAGCTATGCTTAGACAATCACATTTAGAAGATACAGTGCAGAGGTATTCATTGTTTGTCTCTTTATACTTGCCAACTTGTCTCCTAAAACAGAAGCAGGCTTACATGTTAAGTTATGGAAGAAATTGTTGTTGAATTGTTTTATTTATATGAAATTTGGTTTTTTTTTTTTGTTACAAATGAGTCATTAATTGTATATATGGTACTTCTACTTTTTATCATTATAATGATAATGTCTCTATTCATAATTCTTATAAAGATATTTTTAAAATCTGGGTTGCTACTTTTTTCCCCTTCTTTCTTACTTACTTACTTACTTTTAGTTTTAAACAGAAGAAAGTAATTACACTGTCATCTTGATAGTGCGCATGTAAATTGTGTTTTATTTGATTTCTTTATCATTCCTCCCCATTAAACAGTCCTTGTAGATTTATCTATTCCTAAGTATCCTTATATACCTTGTTACAAAGGCAAAGGTATAAACAATTTAAGTACCTTGTCCTTACCCTGTTTTGAGGAATAAGAATCGTACATACATGGTATTCTTAGGCTGCACTGGAGGGCCTAATTTTATGCTGCCATAGGTAATAATCAAGCAAGGGATGACTTATATTGTGATGATATAAGGTAAACTTCAGAGTTTTTACCAAATTTCAAATGTAAATGAATTATGCTTCTACACATAAAAAGTATTTTACTGTGTGTGTGTGTTCGTGCGTGAGTGTTTCAGTGTTTTTGTAAACACACGATCACCTCTTCCCCACTCCCTCCTACTAGAGAGTTGTGCCTCAGACTGCTGTCAAGCTTTTTCTGAATAGTTTTAGCTCTGTATAACTACAATTGCTCTATCTAGAATTTTCACTCTACCTTCTGACTTGCCCTTTTCTCTTATCACTTTGATTAGCTTTGTTCAGTAAGTTGAAATAGCTGGCAGTAAAGGTTTCAATCTAAATAGAACCAGTATATCTCTTTGTAATTCAGATGCCTTTTTTTTAATAGATGTTCATATGTTGGGATCTTTGTGATGGTATTCTTCATCTGACAGTCATCCTATTTAAAAGCGGTACAATATCTAATGTGTAATATGAAGTACATGTATTACAACAGCTTGAGCTAGTTTATCTACTTAATGAAAATGTCCTGTTTTTCATTTTATTTGGGTATCTTATATATACTCTAAATCAGTTTTCTTTTATAGATAAAAAGTTCAACTGAAGTGCTCTTCTTGCTTAACAGGTCTTCTTTTTCTGAAAGTAAAATAACTGCAAGCAAACTGAAAAGTAAATCTGCTTTTCCGTTTCTTGGATTTAAAATGTAAGTCATGTTGTTCATATATAAGAGTTAGGTGTTTATGTTCCCAACACTTTTGAGAAGTGAAAGTAGCATCTTCTTTACTGTTTCACCCTTGCACGATGTTACATGTAAGGAAAGAAAAGCATTATTCTGCTTTCGGTTCCAGCTAGACTTCATTTTCATCATAGTTCCATTTTCTCCACTTTCCGTTGATCATGTGTCATGATACTTTTTGTTAGATTTGAGTTTGTTATTCATGAATTTCAGATTAGCTAAAGTTTTCCATCCTTTTCTTCTAAGATGATGGATTATGATAATGGTTGTTGTGATCAGTGTAAGCATGTATATCATGCATGTAATATCCAAACATTTTAAGAAGACTCACTGACTGTGTAGTTAGTTTTGATCTCCTGTTCATTCCAATTGATGTGGCCCCAGGTTTTATGATGGTGTATTTTTTCTTTTCTTTTCTTTTCTTTTCTTTTTCTTTTTTAATACCAGTATGCATTGCAATATGTATATATTGATTTCTTTCTTTCTTTCTTTCTTTCTTTCTTTTTTTCTTTCTTAATTTTGACTAGAGCTTTCAGGTAACCTTCTTTGCTAAGTTAACCCAAGTTCCACTTGTCAGACCTAGGTCTAGTCTCTACACCACCTCTAGCTTGGTTGGATAGTAATTGCATATCCCTTCGTTTAGACTGACTTCAATGTGGTGATAGAATTGTATAATGATATGTAATTAATGTTTAGGACAGTCATAGAAATAGATCATCATTGCTTGTAAAAAATAGCTAGAATCTGAGCAAAGAATACTCAAAATCTGACCCCTAAGAGAGTAATGATCTTCAACTTCATTCTAGTTCCAAGATCAAATAAAGTTAATATGTGTTTCTTAACTTATTTTGCAACTGTCTTAAATATAGTTTTTCAAGAAAGTTAATGTTTCTTGATTCATTTTGCAACACTTTCATAAAAGCAAACCCAGATTTGCATCAGAGTATCCTTTAAGAAAATGGCTAGAAAATGGAAAAGCCAGAGGTCCTTTAAATGGGACA